CGCTTGGGCCGGCGCCCGCCAGCCTCCTCCCTCGCCGGCGCCGAGCAGGCAGCACCACGCGGAAGGGCTGCGCATGGACGGAGGTGTTAGCGCTGCCAAAAACCACCCTGTCGCTGGGACCTGTCGGGGCTGGCAGCGAAACACTGACAGATGCAAAAAAATACGAGCAAACAAACGCCGAGCTGCAAGGTGGCGAGAGGCACCTCCCCGCCCCGAGAACAGAAACCTATGGGATTGCAAAACCCGCTCTGCAAGCATTAGCTGCGGCTGGAGGAGGAAATGCTTCGGCTTCCTGCTCGAGAAAAAAAAATTCCCAGAGTTGCAGCCGTCCCAAGGCGTGCTGGGCTCCACAGCCGCTCCGCCGGCTCAGCGGCCAGGGCCAGGATGGACTCTGGTAACAGCAAATGGTGCTGAGCACCGGCCACGGCACAGCCCTGCCTGGGACAGGGAGATGGGAAGCAGAGTCAGATCAGGATCTGCATCCAGGGTCTGCGTTCAGCCTTCGTTAGCCGCGCTGGGCGCCCACGCTGCGCGAGGTCAGTGCTCGGCCCCGGCCGCCCCTGGCACAGGACGCAGCATCGCACGTCGGGATGCATTTGTGGTGAGCTGCTGCCACTGTCCTGCTTTACAGAGCCACTGGCTGCTCTGGACTTGTGCTCGCAAGCAGTGCCAGGGCTGGGGTGGTTTAGCTCAAGCCATCTGTCTCCGAAAGCTGTCCATCTCCGAGAGCTGCTGTGCAGGAGTTACAGGTCCCAGAGGCTTCCCGCATCCAGCTGCAGGGATGGCTCCTGCAGGACCGCAGCTCCCCATCCCCGGGGGAAGCCCTTGAGCCGGTAAAACTGCTCATAATGAAGTGCAGAAAAGGAGGGAGGAAGCAGGTGCAAACAGAGCAAACAGCCCTGATCCTTCCCCCAGCTGCACACCCATTCCCCGTGCGTGTGAAGCAACGGATCCGGCCTGGCCCCAGCGCTTGCAAACGCTTCCAGAGGGTGTCAGAGATGAGCAAAGGGCAGAGGGGAGATTTTGGGGCATTCCCTGGCTCCAGCCACGGCTGCTCCTGAGCCACATCGCCAGCATCGTTCTCACCAGGAGCCACGCAGTGATTCAGATCGATCAGGTGGATCAAGGACTTCTCATCTCAGCAAGAAAAAGCGAAGGTGGCTGCGTGGGTGCTGAGCATCGCTGTTCCCCGCGTGGACACGGACACTGTCTATCCCATGCTGTCAGCAGGCAGCACCCCACGCTGCTCACGTTAGGGCCACGGCACAGCCCCACCGGGAACCGAACCCAGAGCTACAGCAGTGCCTCCACGGGATGTCCCCAGAGGGGGACCAGAACCAGCCCCAAATCCTCAGCGCCCAGCCCTGCCAGGGCGAGAGGCAGCAGGGAGAGCAGGCAGGGCTTCACAGCGCGGGCCTGCAGCTGGCAGACGGGAGGCAGGGCAGGGTGCAGGGCGGGGTGCGGGATGCAGGGCGGGGTGCGGGATGCAGGGCGCTCAGGGCACACCCCTGCTGCCTGCACAGGGCAGAGCGGGGCTGCTCGTGGTTCCTGCTCGCTTTCTAGCTCAGAGGTGCCCACGCGTCGCCTTGCCCAGCCTCAGCACCAGCAGCCAGGGTCTCACCGGCAGGAATTATCGTGGGCTGGCGTGGACGTGTGTCTGAATGTCCTTTCCTCACAAAATGAAGCCTGCAGAGGTATGTGACTAGATCAGTGTGTGGTGCATCCAAAAATCGATATGACACTTCACCAGTCTGCACACAAACTCTGCGCCTAACTATTTTGCTAATAACTGCTGAGCTTCATTTCCCAGCCACGTGCGGGTCTGCTTGAGAAACCTGCCAGAGAGCTGCTGAGCTGACGAACTGTGGGGCACGGGCTGGCCCTTGCCCCGAGCTTATCGAAGGGGCGTCTCAGGCTGGCACCAGGTAGCAGAGTTCATGATAGTCTGCAGCTGCGGAAGCGGAGTGACGCGAGTCTAACCAAGCGAAACTTTAAATCACTTTAATCAAAGTCATTTTGCTGCAGCTCAGCTAACAGGAAGAGAAAGGGACGGGGTGACTTCTTGAAGTCATTTCCAGCCTTATTTCCTACGCATGTGTCCTTCAGCCTGTGCTTGTCCCCCTCCAAACGGGACCATCAGTCTGTCCACACAGCACTGCCCAAGCTCACACGCTGGGGGGGTGCAGGCTGCAGATGCAGCATGGGGACGTGCTGGCTGGGCTGCTGTGCAGTATCCCTCACTCACCAGACAAAAAGATTGTCAGTTTGAGCTGGAGATGCTTGAAAAGCCTTTCCCCATGCAGAAAAAAAATGCAGCTCATTTCTCATCTCAGGCCACCACTGAAACTGTAGAAAAGAGCAGTTAAGACAAGGAAGAGGGGCAAGTAAAACCTCCAGAGAGAAATTCCAGCCGAGTTTCTTCTAGAGCTGCCCAAAGGCAAGGAGCCGCTGCGGGTGCAACGGTGCATCGTGCACCACGTGCTCACCCCCTGCACCCGCCGTGGCTCTGCAAATTCAGCTCCTGCACAGGAGCCCCAGGAGCGTGAGGAGCTTGTCCTGTGGTTCAGCTCTCTACTGTGAAAAGAAACTGAAACAAAGATTTTTAAAGGCAGAAAACCCAGACTCAGGTGTTTTCTGAGACTTCTGACCTGTACACATTGCTTCAGCTTTCGCTGATGCATGAGCAGATTTGGGCTGGTGAGGGGTAAAGCCAGAGAGGAAGGAAATAATTAAAATATTTTATAACACCCAAAAAAGATTATTTTCAGCTTGTGCTGCAAGTCTTTTCACACAGTTCTCCACAGGCATGCCCCAATGGGAAACCAGCACGCCTTGGTGCCGGGATGGTGCCAGCCCTTGGAGCCCAGGGGCTCCAGGACATCCCAGTTACCCCAGCAGCTCTCCCGGCTGGTTGCACAGTCAGGTCCAGCCTCGGTGGGAGATCCCAGTCCAACCCCAGGCACTCACCCGCTGGGTTTTGCCCTGTAACAGAGCCCAGCTCTTTTCAGACCCCTTTATCCCTTCTTCTGCTATCCTTTCAAATTTTATAGCGTATTTCCTTTCCCTGGTTGCTCCAACAGCAGGTTTTATCCTCCTCGTCTCAAGGCTGACACCCAAATCCCATCCGACCTGCTCCGACTGTTCACACCCATGGTCAGAAACCGGTAAATCACACTTAGCACCGAACATGCAGCGAGACCCCGGGGCCGTGACGTGCCCACGGGGGATAAACCCTGCGTGCGATGCGAGTGCCAGTCTCGCACAGGCTGGGAGAGCAAAAACACGGCCTCGAAACCAAGTTCGTGATAAAAATAATTGTTCCAGCTGGTGGCAGCAAAGCCTAAAAAATAAAGGCCAAGCAGCATGCTCTGCCTGCAGCAGGCACCTTGTCCTTGGGGGGCTTGGGACAGAAAACGGGGGCACAGCCAGGGGCAGGGGAAGCCGACGGCCCCGGTGCTGTCCCCACACCGTCCCTGCGACAAACCTGCTCCTCGGCACGCGCCGAGCGTGGGACGCGTCCGTGAGAGACCGCAGCACATGCTGCTGCGCTGCGAGCAGCCCCAGGGACAGCCTTCGCTGGGGGCACCCGCTGCACGGGGGGCTGCGCACCCGGCTGCACGCTGGGTTGCGCACCCGGCTGCCTGCAAGGCTGCGCACCCGGCTCTGCCTTTGCCTGCAGCACGGTTCGTCCCAGCAGAGCAAAGCAAAGCAAAGCAGGACCCAGGCGTGGCCTCGCCGCGTGTCCCATCTCTTCACAACCAGGTGCCATGGTCCTGCCCGGAGCATCACCTTTCCCGCCCTCGCCGCCCCTTCACAAGTGACCAAATCCTCCCATCACTTACCACTGCGCTGCTTTACCTGTTAAAAGCAAACAAGAGGTTTGTGAGGGGAGGGTCAGACCTATCTGCAGCTTGGAAGAAATGATGCGATCAGAAGGGTTTAAGGGATTAATTACAGTGTCCTCTTCTGCGCTGCTGGACAGCAGCAACTAACAGAAAATCAAAAATCATTTGTTATCTCTGTCACCCCATTACCTTTCTGACTCCTATTTCATGCTTTAAAAAAAAAACCACCAAACAACCACCAACATGCCAGAAGCCACCTGCGTCCCCCAGAAATCAATGGAGACTAATTGAAGATTCACCCAGACGGAAGAGAAGCGGGATTCACCCCGGCTGCCGGCTTACTGAGGACGGCTCCTGGCTCACCCGGCCTCTTTGGCCGATTCCGGAGGAGGCAGAGCCCCGGCTGGCAGCGCTCGGGCCATCCTTGGGCCATGCAAGACGGGTGCTTGGCTGCACAAGCCGTGGTCCGGTTTCAGGGTCTGCGCTGCAGTTTCGGTTTAACACGGATGCCGGGCAGGACCCTCCCAGCCTGCGCAGCCGGAGTTTGCTAAACCCCTGCCAGCCGCCCCGCAGCAGGACCAGGCACTGGGGCACCGGGGCGGCAAAGGCACGTCTGCAAAGGCAGACGACAAAAGCACCACGACGGCCTCAAACTGCAGTCCCCAGATTTAAAAAAAAAAAAATTACTTTGTGTATTAGAGGCACTCTGCAGAAAACTGTTTTTTTTTCCAGCAAAATAAGCTTCTGCAGCAGAGATTTGAGACACAAGAGGCAGATATCACAGAGCAGTTGCTGCCTTGCCCACTGCGGGTGCCCAGCCTGCTTCAAGGCGTTACCATTTAGGCTGCTATGATTTGAGCTATTTTACCAATGAGTAAAAGCATCCTGGGCTCTTGAACCTCTACGGCAGCTGTTTTTAGAGGAGACGTAGGACGTAACCAGCACTGGGGGAGCGGCTGCCCGAGCCTGCTCCTCGCCCTGGGCCCCGGGGAGCGCAGGGATGCTCCGTC